GGCTTAGCGCAGGCGTTTGGCTGCGAGATCTTTTGATTAGCTAGCTCTTTCAGGCCCTCGGAAGAGTAAGGAGGCCGTCAGCGAGACCCAACACTGCACATCCTCAGAAGTTATTCAAGGCTCCTTTTTCAACACGCAGCCTCGTTTTGTTCTTGCTCATTTAGTCTAGTCTAGCCCTGAGGACTCATGGATTTTGTGTCCATGTTGGTCTTCAAAGGAGTGTAGGTAATTTAGCCATTGTTGGCGATGCTGTACTTACTTCTTCTGTTGGAACGGCTATGGCAGCAGCCATCGCTGCAATGACTGACCGCTGATAGCCAGTACTGCTATGTTTTTGTGTTCGAACTCTCATCATGCCAGTGATTCTTGCCGCTTGGCTTAAGCTCTTCTTTTACGAAGTATTACAGTTGGCATTGTCGGTGCTACCATGCTGCAGACATGTGCCAAAAGTAAACCTAAACCCTAACCCCTGAACCCAACAGCAGGCTTTGGAGAAGAGCCTCGACGTCGCTGGCGGGGCTGCTTGGCGTCATTTCCAAGCTAGGGGCCCGCAGACGGTTGCTAACCGCCGCGCTGCAAGGTTTAGGGTTCAGGCTAACTTCCTGAAACGTGATTATCGTGTCCTGACAGTACAAGCTGAATCTACGTGAGCTGCAGTCAATGTTTCCCCATGTATAGTCACCCTCAAGTAGATAGAATATGGGGTATATGGGAATCTTATTATAACATACCCAAAGCCATGTTCTATCTACTTTTGGGTGACATAATCGCTGTACATGGCTTCCTACTAGTATTAGGGATTATACTCCAATCAAATACCAAAGGGTCCCTATGTCCGCCCTTACAGGCCCCTTGGCGCCCCCAATATTGATGGTATCTCATATAGATGGCTAGAACCCCCATACATAATCCAGGTTTCCATGGCATTTTTCATTTTTGTTTCTGCATAATTGGGTTATATATCCCCATGCTATATAACCCCAATGACAGTACCTCACGTGTTTAGCAGAACCCAGCAGGGTAGGGTCGGGACATCTTCGGAATCTTCCGTAGAGTTTTTCGCGGAACAGTGTGATCAGGTATGATCACGAGTTTTTCTCATATAGGATTGCAGAACGGCACTGATCCTGAGACACTCTACCCGACGCCCCATAGAGCACCAGCGTTCTGATTGCCTCGTACTGCAAGCAGCAGGGTGAAACACAACATGTATTTGTTTTGGCTTGTACTCAGGGGCGGGAGTCATAGACTCGGAAAGCATGCAGCTCGTATACCTTGTTAAGCTTAAGTGCACTGCAGACTTTCAACATGATGCCTACACCTGACTAAACCTCATGATGCTGGAGAAGCTGTCCCAGGGGTCCTCGCATGAGCAGGGCTGACCGGTCGTGAGCTAGAAGCTGGTTGCTTAGGGTTTAGGGTTTTAGGGTTTAGGGTTTACGAGCATTGCGTCTGACAGGACCCCCTGAGCACGCGAGAGAGAGAGAGGGTTTAGGGTCAGCTAGCTAGGTAAACACTCGAATTCTAACAAGGTTATGACGTATACCCCCACGCAGTTACAGTTATAGATAACACCAGCGTTTCATGATACCCCTGCCTAGGCAAGCAGTATAGGTATATATGTATATATATATATACATACATATATATAAACTGTAGTAGCATGGTCAGAGCAAGATGGATGAGAGCAGTGTTGGTTTAGCGTCTATTAAGTCTGAGAGACTAAGAGGACCTCGACTACCTTGTACCTCACTACCCATCTAGACCCAAATAAAGAAGGAATGTGACCTAAATTTGGCTAAATAGTACCAGGTAGTGGGGGTCCAAGGAGTTCCTAGGATGAAGGACATTGAAGGACTGCCTGCAGTCTGGGCTCAGGTGACCAATGCCCAGGGAAGGCCACATGCCGCCCGACAGCGCAGGATGCCCAGTGCCTGGTGATCCATTGGGGAATTGTTATATAAAGGTTATATAGGGGTTATATAGAAGTTATTGTGGGATAATGGAAAAGAAAATGGAAACTATAGGGATTACAGTGGTTATATAAGGGTTACATTGGGGTTATATTGAGATGATGGAAAAGAAAAATGGAAACTACTATTGTATTATAGGGGTCATATTGGGTTATATTGGAGCAATGTAAGGGTTGTGTGTTTCACTGGTCATCTCTCCCAGAAACTGTTTTTGGATCAACCACGAAGGCTACACGCATTTGTAGTGGAGCTTTTGGAAGCAAAAGCGGCTCCAGCATGAGCGCTTTGCCCCCATAATCCTGTGAACAACATGATTTACGTACACCTTCCACCCTGCTACATGTGAGCCTGCTCTCTCTGTACACGCATACCTTTCTGTTGGACTACCACTATTCCTAGGGTTCATTTTCGAGCTATGCTTAAATCCTAGTATCCCCATTCAGAAGCCCTATAATAATCCCCTATATAACCCGCCTTTAAGGAGTTTGGACTATAGTTCATGCTTCAGGAGATGCGCCTTTCTCCACTGCTGACCATGGCCACAAGCACTGGTGACCTGCAGCAGTGAATGCACAAGATGCATCAAAGGAATAGGGCCCTGACAAAGTTCAAACAGCTCCAAGCTGTGTGCTGCACAGATGTGTTCGAATGAATTACAGTGGACATTCCACATGCCGAACCAGTAGTACGCCAGGAGTGCAATTGTGGGTTCTGTCAGAGAACTGAACCTCATGATTGGTGCATCAACTCCTTCCAGCCGAGCTTCCGTGTTGAAGGCAATATCATCGGCTTGCAGCCCGGACTGCTGAAGTGTGAGCAGCAAGCTGATTGCTTGCATCCACTGCTTGGCCCTCCTGGCTCCGGGCTTTGGCTCCATTCTGGTTTATATTGGGGTTATATAGGGATAATGGAAAATCAAATGGAGACTACTATAATGGAAAAGAAAATGGAAACTACTATAGGTCCATATCTTGGGAATAAGGGAATATCTGACTCGGATGTCTTGCGACTCTGCAAAGGCAAACAAGATATGGACATTATCCCTATATAACCCCAATATATACCCTATATAATCCCTATATAAACCCATTTAGTAGTTTCCATTTTCTTTTCCAGTATCCCAACAAAAATCGCGCAGCACTGCTTCCAAGTCTCTCGCAGGCACTTGCCGCAGAGCTGTAGCTGATAAGAGATGGCCGCAGGCGCCGCATCTCGGATGAAATGAATAGTGCGAGGACAGCAACATGTCACAAGGAATGTGCAGCCCATGGCTGGTTTGACCCAAGTATTTCCTTATCATTGTATGTTGCTCCCTGCTTGCAGCACAGAACGTACTTACAGCCAAAAGCATCACCTTGTTTGAGGGAGAAGCTCAAGATCCCGGACACTGCGAAGTGTGGCACGAGGCCATGGCCACAAGCAGCGTGCAGGTGAGTGCACACACATGCCAGGTGTCAGACGCGAAGGTCATGAAGAAGCTGCAAGGCTATATCCTGAACGGGCAATTGATGCGTAGCCTTATTTATGTTGAGTCAATTCCGGTCTTCGGCAGCCGTGCACCAATTTTTTCTCATCCCATTCGGTCCAACAAAACTGAGGAAAGGGCCCACTGCTGTCCACGATCGCAAGCTGCCATTGCAGAGTTGTAAGTAACGACATCCGGCGTCAATTGATGCAGCGGAAACCTCAGTCCAAGGCTGCCTGTTGCGGTGCTTGCTGCTTGTATAATAGTAACAATAGTAGTAATAGTAGTAATAATAACAATAATAAGATAAGAGTAATAGTTGCAATAAGAATAATAGTAACAATAATACCGATAATGGTATGCACAGCTGAAGTCTTTCTTCAGAGAGCGCACTTTACGCTGGACCAGCAGCTTCGGTAAGGCTCCTGCTGGTGCAGCAGCCACAAAGCTCGCTCCCATTCGCCAGCCTGCGCAACATTACCTCCTGTTTCCACAAGGAGGCACACATTAGGAGGACTTGTAAGAATGGTATAATAGGAACATAAGAGGACTCTAATATACTTACCATTATCCCTTATAGTCACGGTTTATAGTCACGGTTACTGGGTGGGTGGTCCACCTAAGGCACACAGCAATAAATGAAACCTATGACCTCGGCACAGACCGTCATGGCAGCATTCATCGCCGGAACATCTGGGTCTCCTTTCCGCTCTCAAACTGGTAGTTTCCCAAAATAAGGGGACCCCAATATAGGCCCCAAAATACTATAGTCCTTATTATTGGGGCCCCCAAAAAAGGTACCCCTAATTTTGGGAAACCCCCAACTCTTCGGAATTCCTATGCTGGTAAGGAGCCTGGACTCAGCGTTGACTGGGTTGGTGTTAAGGAGCTGAAATCGAGATGCCACGATAAGGAAACCCCATTATCTACTGTATACTCATATCATGGGCAACCCAAAACCCAAAACCCTATATACCCTATAGTATACCCAGAAATTACGGTGACTTATATCAAGTTCCTTAACAGCAACCCAGTTGAATCATACAGGGAACTCCTGGGATCTGCGCCAGGAAAGCCAAAGCTTCTGCCCAGAGGCCTGCAGATTGGACTGTTTTGGAGCGTATCAATACCAAGGCTAGGGGGGGTTGATCCCTAAACCCTAAACCGGTCTTATAGGGGTTGTATAGGGATAATGGAAAAGAAAATGGAAACTACTATTTAGGGTTTAAGGTTAAGGGTTTATAGTCCCCCTTAAGTAGATAGAATATGGCTTTGTGTATATTATAATAAGATCCCCATATACCCTATACTGTATCTACTTAAGGGGGACTATAAACCTTAAACTTGAGGATGGACATCCCAAAGTAGCCCTGCCTCCGGAAGCACATGCAGTAATGGCACTGCAGCAGGTGAGTAGATCGGGCTTCAGCCTGCCACACGCAGCTCGTTGAACAGGGATTGGTTGTCCACACTCAAGAAGGAAAGCCCTGTGCATGACACTCGCACCGCGTGTTTTTGCCTCGCGTCGCTTGACTCCATGCAGCTTCAGCCTCATCAAGTGCTTACTCAGTGGGCAGCTCCCACTCCTCGTTGTCAATGGCCTGAACACCAGCGATCTGTCATAGCGCGCAGAATGTGTAGCATCTAGGTTCAGGGTCCGTCTACAGCGTGCCAAAAATGTCCACAAGAATTGCACACTGGAAACGGGAGATGGAATGACACTACGTTGATCTTACCCTGTTGCAGGGCCTCTTGCAGGGCAATGGGCTTCTGGCCGTCCACAGTGCAGCCAACGGCGAAGCAAGTTCCCAAGATCTCCTCTCCAGGACAGTTGCAACCTTCTTGAGCTACATCTCATACGCTGATGCTGGCTGGCCAGCCAAGAAATCAAGGACCAACGCGTCTCCTTGGCAGTGCCCTTGAACTCCTTTGCCAAGCTCTTCTTTCGCATCTGGCGGCAAATGTCCTGCCGGCATGATGCCACTTTAGCCTACACGGACCCTGGGCTCAAGGGCCCACATGCACTTACACATCTAATTTAGCGTTTTGCAACAGGCTCGAAATCTTGCCCGCGTCTTCCCGTACATCCACACCGCAGTGTGGGTCCAGGAAGACATTCTTCGTAAGGTTGCCGCTGTGCTTGATGTTCTTGGTCTTCTTTCCTTGGCATTCGCACAAGCTCATTGCGGCAGAATGCATGACAACTAGACGTATATATAATATAACAATATCAACCTACCAGCTGCTCTGCGCCCAATGTGCAGCACCAGCATCGGTCACGGAGAGGCTCCTAGGCTCGTGCTTGTACGTTCAGTTGCCAAATGCCAGTCACAGCAAATGCAGCAACCGCTGCATTCGGCAGTGTCCTTCAGCGCCTTGATGATCAGACTTGTGGCGTTCGGCTCCACATCCACCTTGCCGACAAGAATCTCATCTCTGTCTCTCACCCAGCCCTACGCGTACTCATTTCGAAGCCTTGGCCGCTCTGTTTTGGATCGTCAGCTTGACGGTCACTCGGATGCCCTTCCACTGGCTGGTGCCCTTCACGATGTCGTCGCCAACCTGTCCGAACACACACGTCAGAAGCCTGGGGCAACTGAGGAATCAAGCTCTTTGAGAAAGGGACTCGTGCTTCCAAGGCACCTTCTTGGGCGACATTCCGAGCGGGCCGACCTTTGGAGCCAGCACAGAGCTTGGAGCCTGCTCACCGCCATACCTGAGCCGCTTCGGATCTGCATTGCAGAGAAGCTGACAACACTGCTTCTTGCAAGTGTGGAGCTGGCGGAGGAAAACCACCTCTGGCAGACGATACACCCAAAAAACTTGCTGGCCCCCACAGATACTGGCACACCAGTGGTGCCTTCACTTCGTTGGGGTCAAACTTCGGCGCCATGGCTGCGAGGGGCGAGGCAACGCAAGGATCCCGCTTTGAGCCCCAAACAACCACAAGTTCCACGATCAAGAGACAGGTCCTGTGCAGCTGCACCTAGTGCTATGCAACTGTCCCTGCAAGATTCACCGTCGCCTCTTTTGCCTCGCGTCGCTTGACTCCATGCAGCATCAGCCTCATCAAGTGCTTACTCAGTGGGCAGCTCCCACTCCTCATTGTCAATGGCCTGAACACCAGCGATCTGTGATAGCGCACAGGAGGAGGTGTAGAGATGTGTAGCGTCTATGTTCAGGGTCCGTCTACAGCGTGCTAAAATGTGCAAAAGAATTGCACACTGAAAACGGGAGATGGAATGACTGTTGCAGGGCCTCTTGCAGGGCA